AGCTGGAATGGATAAACCCGGGACCAATGCTATTGTCGAAGGAGGGCTTTCATCGATATCCATGTGATCTATAGGGCGAGTTCCCGGTAAACAATCAATTCGTTCGGTACTGCTTAGTAGACGATCTGCGAAGAGCGGTGTGGCTGTATTGTGTTCCGCTGCAGCACTAGTGGTATACACTCTTATGATAAAAACCAGACACATGCCTGGAAGGCGATGTGTATAATGCCTAGAGGTTCAATGAGACAACTCATTATTTTGTCTAGTATTTTCATTCATTAAGTTCCCTGTGTATTTCATTTGGTTTTTTCATTAAATGGCCTAATTGATCTCATTAATATTGTATTGCGATTTCCTGCAATATTTCATTCATTATCTCTGGATATCTCATTTTGCTTTTCATATGAAAGCCTGGCGCTTTCAATATATATTTCATTCTTAGCTCCAGGACATTTCATTGGATATTTCATTGTTAGCCCCAGGATATTTCATTGTGCTTTTCATCTGAATGCCTGGTGCTTTCAATGGATATTTCATTCTTGTTCCTAGGATATTTCATTGCACTTTTCATAAATATACCTGGTGCTTTCATTGGATATTTCATTGCTAAACCCAGGATATCTCATTGTGCTTCTCATTTGGATGCCTGGCGCTTTCAATGGATATTTCATTGCACTTTTCATATGTGTACCTGGCGCTTTCAATGAATATTTCATTTTTAGTGGCAGCTGACCTTTCAGGGTCCAGGGAGCATTTCCAAATGTAAAATGGCAATAAAATCAGGAAAAATTAGGGCTCATTGCTGATCATCATGTTGGGTAACATTGTCAGGGTCCAGGGTCCAGTTCCAAATATGGTAATATATCCAAAAATAGCCAGAAAAATAGCGGAAAAATTGAATATATATAAAAATGGTGTACAGAACATCAGGCACTGCCTTCAGGGTCCACTTCAGGTTCCATCCCAAAAGGGAAATATCACCTGGTTTGACCAAAAAGTGAAGAAAACCAACTGGAGAATGATTTTACCTATCAGGGTCCATGTAATGGGATGTTGGGATGATGGTCACCTGACCAATTACCAAAAATGGTCAAAAAACAAAAGTTGTAGCCCTACACTGTAGCTTCCTGAATCTGTTCAAATTATGTTCTGAAGTGCTCCCGTTGTGGAGATATGAGGTAAAGGAATCCCAAAAGTGTTGTGTTTTTTTTTGTTTTTTGCATTTTTCTCCATGAAAACAAAACCAAACAATATGATTTCAGTATATTTAGAAAGCTAAAAGAAAGGGCTACAACTATTGTATTGTGGGGAAAATGACCAAAAAAGGAAGGTGCATGCCCTAGAAAAGGAATGGTCAGATATAGACTACCAAGTTTACTAATAGACTACAAAAAAGTCGGACTCAACTACAAAGTTTACTGATACACTACATAAGACTACAAAAGTCGGACATAGACTACAAATTTTACTGATACACTACAAACGACTACAAAGTTAGGGTTAGGGCTAAAAAAGTCAACCTAGCCCATCCATCCCATACATGGCACATATTTGATGGGGAAATGGCTGGGGAATATACAGATACATTGCAGGGACTCTATTCCATGTCTAGTTTGAGGAATCATATGCAAAAGAGAGCATGAGAGCCTTTAGAAAAGGCAGTTTTTTAGACTACAAAAGTTTGTAGTGTCTGCTTTTGTCATCAGAAAAGTTTGTAGTGTCCGCTTTTTAGACTACAAAAGTTTGTAGTGTCCGCTTTTTTATTGGAAAAGTTTGTAGTGTCTGCTTTTTCATTTGAAAAAGTGTGTAGTGTCCGCTTTTTTAGACTACAAAAGTTTGTAGTGTCCGCTTTTTGAGACTACAAAAGTTTGTAGTTGACATGTAGGTTATGGTGTCCTTGGCCCTGTCTAGGTTATGGGGATGA